TTTTTTTTTTTTTTTTTTTTTTTTTTTTTTTTTTTTTTTTTTTTTTTTTTTAGCTGAACTGTCCGATGCAAACTGTTGCAATAAGTTAAAGTGAAACAAAATATATTTGTCTCACTCTGACTTATTGCAGCAATTCAGACAGTTCAGTTCAGACAGGTAGAAAGGACAAACCTTTTGTCAAGATGTCACACGGAAAAGGAGGTTTGGTTGGACCGAATTTCTGATGAAAGATGTATTAACGAAAAAAAATTTCGCAGACGTAAAAGTCGCGAGATCTCCGCGCGATTCGTCCGTCGGTCGGTCCACCATCTCTGACGCCGCTCGCAAAACGGCGCGTACGGCGTTCCGGTCGACGCAATCGTTACCGGATTTCCCTGGCCCGATGTTGATCGATGACGGAACGATTCGAACACGAGGGTCCGCAGTGAAATCGCGGCGCACTGACGCTCATCCACTCGAAGAGAGACATAAAAAAGAAACAGGCGGAATGGGATTCCAGTTTCGGGCGGACATGGTTTCTCACCTCTCTCGCGGAATGCGAGAGAGTCCACGTGTGCGGGCAACCGGACGCGCGGATTCCTGCGTAATTCGCTGGGTCGTCGCACCGCGGGCTCGCCGATGTGGGCCGTCGGCCGCTTTACCGCGGAAAAGCATTACGTTACGATTCCCGGAAAACTCGCCGGAAGTCGTCCGGCCCGACCTTCGACGAGTAGACGACGTAATTTACGTCGAGGGCAATGAAAAAAGGAAAAAAAAAAAAATACAGCGCGGAATAAAGGAGCGCGAGTTCCGGATGGTCGGTAGTCACGTCGCCGGCGGTCACGTCACAAGTTGGCGCGCGTGTATGTGATTACGTTCCCGTAATTCGCAGATGTTAAATAACACGAGGACATCCGACGAAATTACGGTGCCGGATCTTTGCGACGGCGGGGAGCAGCGCGTCGCGCTCGCAGGAATGCGCGGAGAACAATGTTACGACTGATTAATGGCCGGTAGAGCGTGGATAGGGAATTCCGCGAGATCGGCTCGTCGAAATGGAATGATAATTTATTGGGTAGGAGGGGAAGAAGGAGGAGGGAGGGGGAGGGGGACACGAATATGTGCGTGCTGCGGAGCGAATGTGAGGTAAGGGTCCCGCGGCCGCGCGAGAGTGTATTTGTTTCTTTGTAAAAATAATACGCCATTCGTCCTCTGAAGGCCGTTCTTAAATATCGCCGCATAAATCAGCTGGCGTGCGCGAGCTCGCCGCCGGACAGCGAGGATGCTCAGGATTAATTTGCGCCAGTCGCATAGAACGAGGATAAAACTCTATTTGTCGGCAATCAACGGACGGCGAATTCCTCGCTCTTGCACCGAACAAAAAGTCTTGTAAAGTTAACAAATGCATTTGGCTGGGGCATTCCAGTGGAATACCAGTTTTGATAACTGATATCTATAATAGAATTACCAACCGTCTGATAATGATCGCAAAATAATTAGTAAAAATTATTCATTTGAATGCATCAATGAGGTGGTTCGGTAAATAAGATACCAAATAATTTGATAATAATTATTAAACAGTTGGACGGTTACAAAAATATTTAGTTATTTCGTATATTTATTACATAATGCATGGTATTTACCTTGGCTCAATAGGGTTTTATTTAACAAATTACTCGACGATACATACCACACACTGAGAAAAGAATATTTGAAAATTTATTTATGGGAGTAAAGTTGATTTCTGATAATTAAAATTTATTCCTATGAAATAAACTATTCCCGTGAAATAAACTTTATGTCTCACGAATAAATTTTAAAGTTTTTCCAGCGTATAAATCGGTAATAATCGTCAGGTCTTCGTAATGGATACCAAAATTTAGCAACAGACACTTTGCTAAGGTTGTTTGTTATTTGTTGATGTTAAAAAAGTTAATTAATCGAGTTATTTGTAATTATATTTATCGCTTAATATTTATCAAATTATTGGATTATATTTATTTATATTAAGAAAAAAGTACTAGAAAATTTATATATATATATTTGGGGATATATATAAAATTTATCCACACAGTAAAAATAAACTTTATTTTACAGAATAAACTTTATATATTCAACAAATAAATTTTTAAATATTCTTTTTCTCAGTATATGCGTTTAGTATTTCACCAAACTATTTCAAAACATTTGGTCAACTATTATCTAGACTTTTGATGATTATTACCAAACCTTTACGACATGGCGAGCCTTATTTTAACGAGACACGCGAAGACATAGCCAATATAAAAATGCAGCGGTTTTATAACCTCCCGATTAATTATTCAACTATTGTTTCTCAGCATGAGCGATGCAAAGTCCGCGATGAAAAGGATCTTTTATCGTTCGATGAAAAGATTTCTTAAAATACAACTGGACTTCTCAACCGGCGCGTCGCGTGCGTGGGTGCGAAGAGTCCCGATATAAATTTTTATAGTGTAACAATGCGTCATAAATGCAAAGGTATATGTATGTACATACATATACACACACACACATATATCATACACACTCGTATCCAACGCGCGACATCCGCGGCGCCATTCCGCAATCAGGAAATCCCATCTTCTCGGATGTTCTAGACGCTGGACCGGCGACGTTGGTCAGACGACTGAATTATAATCAGCGACACATGCTAGATTAGTCTGATCCCGAGGCGACGATTGCGGAATCAATTTGACCCGCGAGAACAAAAATGTTTCTAACGCGCTTCTAATCGCGCTGTCTTCCTTTCCTCTCTCTTTCGACACTTGCATGTCTACAATTTCTCTTTGGTCTTGAGAATAAGACAGAAAAGGAAGCGGCGTAACGTGCAGCGTAATTCGCAGCTTGTCAATAACTATGACGATGTCCAATTCGCGCGAATGATCGGATGCCAAAGTGTGTTTTTGTCGCGATGTAAACGTCGCGAGAGGCGCGAGTCGTGGCATAATTTAAATCTGATTTAGAAGCAGGCACACACCGGCTGCCTCGGGATAAACTCGCGCTTTATATCCCCGTGCCATCCTCATATCCTGTTGATGTCAATGAATAATACCGTAGAAACTGTAAAATGTTAACTCGGCGCCGAGTAGTCGGACGATGTCACCGATTTCAAAGGGAAACGACTCGGCATTCAATCGTGCCTTCTCCTTGTCTTTTCCTTTTTCTGTTTTCCTCTTTTTCGACGAAGGAATCTGCGGAATCGGCGGAATCTCCGGGTCGTGTTAGTCGGCCTCCAATCGACCGCGAGAGGAATTTCAGACGCACACACCGGCACGCGTTTGTTACTCGAATTTAGTTCAAATTCAGGCTCGACGTATTCGCCGTCAGATCGGCTCTGCCACCAATGATCGTGCGACTTCCTGTTTACCCGCGAGGCGGTATTTAAGTGCCATTTCTGAGATGTGTCGTTGATAAATTCACGTAGACGAACGGAATAAATCGCAATCGATAGCTCGACAGGCGGCAGGCGCCAGACGTTTTGCCCCTTCCTACGCGGATGCTGGTCGTTCTCGTGGCATAGCGTGTAGATGACGAAGAATACCGGTTCGTAAACTCTACGAATATATACTACTGGTAAAATTCCGTGGTCATTCCATGTGGCTCGATCGACTATCCATCTTCCTGCGTTTCATCGGTAGTGGTGGTGGTGGTGGTGGTGGGCCGCGCGCGATTGTAAAAACGCAGATCTACGTGCGCATTCCAAGATGCATCATCTCGCTAATGTTACACACGCAGCGAAAATGCGAAGAAATGGACACGCGCACACGTGGTAAATATAAAAATATATTTCACGTTCGATAAAACATAGCGTTACAACAGGGATCTTCGTTTTTTAAAATATATAATCGAACACAGCGAGTAGGTAACGCTCTAAATAACACGCGCGTTGAACGAGTCGCGTGTATACTTTGCAATAACAAACGTTGGAAACAATTATAATGGCAGGCGCGATTGTCACGCCCGCGATCTTAACGTGAAGTAGACTTTCTTTAAAATTTTATTACAATGGTGTAAATATTCATCTGTGTAGATAATATAACGTGTTACGCATTTGCATTATTGTCGTAATCTTCCACGTAACGTGTTTCGTTATCTTCATTATTATCATCACAGCGCTGTATATGTATTTAGCGTCTCCCGTACGCGTGGTGAGACTGATGAGCTGCAAGATAACAGGCAATACGTTAGGTTTTGCATCGTGAATCGTTTTCTTACTCTGACTGGAGGACATCAAGAGACTCACGTTTGTAAAATTCTCCCAAAAAAGATACGTTAGGCACTAAAGCGTGAACTTTTTGTACGACCGTGGCCTTTGACTCCAGATCAGCGTTTATATTCCAAATCTAAAAAAGCAAGCAAGATTTAGGTTCGATTCTATCGCGAAACTTCCCCACTCACTTTGATTTTACAATATACACACTTGAATGAGATCTTCTCTGTCGCGAATGGAGACAGTTACCCCGCAAACTTCGTCGTTCTGCGCGACATGTGAGGTGAATTGTTCCCCAATTGCTGCTAGCACCACTTCTTTCCACACGCGTTCCTAAAAGAAGAAATTTCACATGTATTGAAATATTTATCATATATCAATCCAGACAGTACAGGTTTCTTAGAGATGTTTTAAAGACATCTGACGTCTTTAAGACGTTTGTGCTGTCTGAGAAATGTCTACTTCAATGATTTTATCACAGTACTCACGGTATCATATTTATGGCACTTTAGTCTCCATGTACCACCCCTCTGATTCAGTTTGTCTTCCCACAGGGGATATCTTTCATCTCTCATTAAATGGTAACTGTATTTAACCTGATGGTGAAAATATTTAAACAGATTGCATGAGTGATGGAAAGGATAATCGAGTATAGCGTAATCAAGCACAAAACAGCATTAGTAGATAATGAGATACAATTACCTGCATGTCCCCTGCATTTGGTATGTTGTTGAAGACTGCCCAGAAATTTTGCACAGTATCTACGGTGTAGATCTTCTGCAGGTTGGCTTTGTATTCTTCGGTAGTTGTGCCAGGAACAGCTCTGTCGATGATTTAGCAGAAAATTAATCTCTTCAGCACCAAGAAATTCATTCTTCTTTCTTCACAATACAATGAGAAAAGAAAATGTATGATACTTGTGACTATAATTATATAAAAGAAGCATTATTACAAATCATAGGAAAGCTATTTTTTTTAAATTAATTTCACTATAATGTTGGTGATAATAACTTTATATGCATGTTACTACTACTATTTTCGTGTTAGAACGATTGAAAAATATGATTCGGGCCAAAAATGATTATAATTTTAGTCGGATCAACCATTTTTTTTTTCTCAATGCAGGCATCGTCATCCACTGATACATTGTTGCTACGTGATGCTGAGAGAAATAAAAATATGCAAAGGCGATCTTTTTTGCGTGGCAACAAAAACAAAATTGCGAAAGCACCGACGTGCTCGCTGTTAAATTACGCGTTACGATTATTTCCCGATTATCGAAGCGAAACGAGATTCGAGATTAGAGGTCTCGCCGTATAAAATTGATCTGTATGGCTCATTAGGCAGAGCAGAAAATTTACGACGTAATAGTTGATGGAGTACAGCAAAGATAATGGTAGGGACGTGTTCGTAGATATATATTTTATAAGAGATGTTACGGATTGAAAGATTACTTTCTCTCTCTCTTTCTCTCTCTTTACCTCTCTCTGTGTCTCTATTACTATCACTCTCTCTCTCTCTCTCTCTCTCTCTCTCTCTCTCTTTCTCTTTCTCTCTCTCTCTCTTTCTCACTTGTCGAGCCAGAAGGTCCATGGTGTCTGCAACGGAATGCTGGAGCTCTCGTGCTTCTCAGTCGCGTGGACAGCCTCGTCGGAGAACACCGACACGTTGTTCAACAGGTCGGTCGTGCCGTCCTCCGTTGCTTCGCATTCCGTCGCGGCCATGTTGGGAACAACGACGGTGCGGCAGCGCTACTAAACGTCAAAAATCATGTGATCGTCGGCGCCGTTGCGGACGATCATCGTCGCTGCTGCTCCGAAACCGATGACGTTTGCTCTTCGACATTGACCGAGAGAGACAAGAAGCGAAAAAATGACTAAAGCCCGTACATAACGGAATGTAAAGGCTGTTTCCATGTCGTCCAGCGTGTTAAGACACGTGTGATAAGAGTTTCACACGCGTGATGTAAACATTCGCACGTACATAACAAGCATCACGCGAAAATTCAATTCCGATTCGTTATTCTCACGGCAATTTATATCCGTGAAGAAGAACTTCACTGACTTCCTGACCGACGACGATAAAACAGTTGCGACGTTGCGGTCTAAAGGTACCTTCACCCGTCGTCAGATGTCAGATGCGGTGCAACTTGTGAAACGCGCAAATAAAACCGGTTGCTGTCTTTTGAAGGCAAATTCATGATTATTTCATGAATCAGTTGAAAGGCAGATGAAGTTTGCTAGAAAAATGTTGTGCACATCTTTCTGTGTACAAAGTACCGACGTATGTTCAGTTTACTAAGTATATCTCCTACTATTCCTCAAAGTCACACACTTGCGCGTGAGAAGTAGGCAAAGATTTCTTTCTTAAAATTGAAAAAAAACTTATCACAAAGGATTTTTCTAAATCTATAAACGTATTTGTCGCCGCCATTTTAAACCGAATACGTTTACAAAATCACGACAACGTTTTTCAGCGACATTAGTCAGTTCATTTGAACTGCAAATCGCCATTGGACGGCGCATTACAGTTTTCCTCAATTTCTACGTTTTCTCCGATTAAGTGAAAATCAGAATTTCGCGATAACGATCGCCCAATTATACGGATCTATTATCGTGGTTTGATATCGCAATTAAATTAAAAGAACCCGAGTTAAAATTTTAGCTCTACATTTAACCTTGAATTCTACAACACAGTAAGAGCTAAGTTAGCAAAGTAGGTTTAGTTCTTACTCCTACTTTGACTCTGATGATGTCCGAAATTTTTCTCTTCATTTTCTTTAACATCAATATGTTGAATGGAATAGTGAGACTGAAAGTATGATCAGAATTTCGACTCAGGTAGGTTAAATAAAATCAAAAGGGGTCGGATGTAACCAAAATATCAAAATAGGTATTGAAGAGTAAGGCTGAAAATAGGATCAAAATTCGAGTCGGGAGTACATGAAACGATTGATAAAGAAACGGACCCATCTGTTATCATTACAGCGCACTGTGTGCGCAATTACACGCGTAATCGCAGGGTACGTTTTCTGAAAAGAAAAGGAGAAGTAAACACATTCTTGCTATTACGCGTCGCATCGGTAGCGATGTAATACAGGGTGAGTCATCTGAATCTATCACCTCCAATAACTCGTTTGTGTGGCCAGGAATCGAAAAAAGTTTCATATAAAAGTTGTAGGGTTTCGAGGGGGAACCAAAATGGCGTACCTTTCAACTTTTGATTTTGACCGAAAGTGGATTACTTCAACCGGAAGTGGTTTTTTTAAACTAGAAACCCCCCTTTTTGACACCGGAAAATGAAAAAGCGGAAAATTTTACGTTCAGATATAACTTTGGCTGTTTTAAAATTTTCAAGATGGCGGACGAA